TTTCTGTCTTATCACTTTGAGTTGTTTTACCCTTAAATGTCCTACTTTGGTTGCGAGAATTGCAAACTGTTGCCCAATGGCCTTTCTTGTCACAAATATTACAAACTGAGTCTTTGGCAGGACAGTTGGCTCGAGAGTGTCGTGACCGTCCACAAAAGAAACATTTTTCTCTTCTTATCGAGGATAATTGGTGTGAAGACGAATCAGAAGCTGCCTGAGAAACATTTGTATCAGTAACATCAACATCTTTAGGAGTTGACTGAGATATAGAGTTACAAGGGCTTGAAATATATGAAACCGCCTGATTTTCAGCTGATTCCAAGGTAATGGCTTGATTATAAGCTTCTTCAAGAGTCAAAGTTAGATTTTCAAGAAGTCTTTGTCGAATGGACTGTGATATTAGTCCTCGAATTAAAGCGTCTCTTATGTACTCGTTGCGATTTTCATTAGCAGTGACAGATTTAAAGTTGCATGCTTTACTAAGTTCTTTTAGTTTTCGAAGATACTGATCAATATTTTCTCCAGGTTCCTGTCTTCTAGTGGCCAGTTGATGACGTGAATATACCTCATTAGTAGGCTTTATAAAGAGTTTGTCAAGAATAGATATAGCTTCGGTATAAGAATCAGCCTCTGAGATTATTTCATGTATGTTGTAGTCCACAAAATTAGTTAGAAGTTTTAGTAGATCATCTTCTGCAGCACATATTTCTTCCACGAAATTCTTGAAAGTGGTTTTCCAATGTTTCCACTGACGATCAGAATGGGGATCATTAGGGTCTAAAGATAGGCGCTCCGGCTTGAAGAATTTATCCATTTAGATTTCTTGGAATAAACTTGAATAGAAAAGATAGAATACAACTTGTATAGAAGAACTTGTAATAATATAGTTAAAAGATTAAGTTGAATAAATTGTTATGAAAAGAAATGTTTAGAAACCAAATTTATATGGTTTTATTCAACTTAATAGTCAGCTACATTTTACATGAGAGAATTGCACAAAACTGTAAACATTACATACATAAACAAAACAGTCTTAAATAAAACAGCTGAATAAATATTTGACAGTACAAAAGGAATCATATTACATAACACTATATTACGGATTTTGGCGCACTGGGTTGGTAACATTATTGAAAATAACACAACATTTTGGCTGTAAAATATGGTACAAAGAGAAAATACTATTTAAGCAGCTACTGTCGTGACAGAAAGGTCATATTCCTTTTAAACTAGATCACATAATCCTTTATAAGATAACTTGATTAACAATATGTAAACGTCAATATATACGTAACAGCCAATTTACAGTATCTTTGCTTTTGGAAATGTCCCATTGCTCATTTGCCAATGAAGCCGCAAGGCCGTATGAACTAGGAGGCCCCTAACAGTTCAAGAATAAAATCCAACTTCACTTCAAGTATTTCACTACACCTAACATTCCGTAGAGAGATTATATTGACAGCTTTATGTTATTGATAAGGCTGAGACAACTAACTGACATCCCCCATGTCAAGGAATTCCAGCTTTAACACCCCCCAATCACCCAACAATCAATTTCTCAAAACTATGCTAGAGGGTTCATTCATTGGCACAGAAGTACGATCCGAACTGTCGCGACGTGACGAAGGAAAAATCAAACATACACTGTAACGGATATACCTCCCTTTGAAATTGAATATGTCTTCCCAAAAAATATTTTCTTTTAAAATAAAATCATGTTACACTGATGAAATCACGGAAGTGTTTAACTACAAAAGATCCACCAATACGATTTTAATACTTTTTAAAGGTTCTTACAAAGGAAGAGATACCAGATATTATACTAATAATAACTCTGATGACGTACGGTATGGGGAATATTTTATTCATTGAATGATCAACTAAATTTGGCAACTAACGCAATTAATATAATTATTGTTTTTACACTTATTACTCTTTAAACAATGCTAAATGCTCAAAATATGTATATTTTACCCAATTTATCGCAGTTGGATGAATTAGCGTAAGACTTGAAAGTAACCGTCGATTTCGACGGGTTTCACCTAGTTGTTTGTAATAGTTCAATTTATTTACCTTTCATCGTATTTTACTGAATTATCATGTAGTTTTGGTTACAGTTCGGTGTGATTAAGTGAGTGTTTGAAAGTGATTCTTCACAGTGCAGATACCCGTTACATTACCATATTATCATGTAATTTACAATGTGTATCAACATTCCTTTGTAGTGTTTTCTGTTGATTGGTTAACTTTCGTACTTAATCTAAATTTAAAATTAAATGCCACTGCCGCTAGTAAGACGAAGAACTGTAAGTGGCTGGAGGGAACGCAAACGTGACCACTTGCATCAACCTCCCAATTTGACGGAGTCAAGTTAGATTCTTATGTGCATAGTAAGAGACAAAAGAAGTTACTTCCCTTGCTACAATGATGCTACCTGTATAGATGTCGCAGCTATTTTAAAGCTGAAAACAGGGCACCACCTGGCCAAATGAATCATTGTTTTTTTTCTTTTTTTTTACAGGACATTCATGTAATTCTTTTTCTTTGTTCTTCTGTTCTTTATTAGGTTTCTTTTCAATTCATATACAAATTCAACAAGTCGGCATTTTTTGGCCTACTCATTGCCCAATCACAGCCTTACTAAAGTTAACAATCACTAAATCGCAGTTTACTAAGCATAATAAGAAGCTGCAATGTTTCCAAAACGATTATGTGGGAAGGAGAGGGGGGTCGTTATATTAAGAAAAAGACGCTGACAATTCGTTAAGCAGAGGTTACAAACACTATGTAGATATTCTGACAATTAAAAAAATCCTTAAATTGGATAAGTTTTCCAGTCCTGTACAACACTGATTCACGGTCTTTTCCCGGTAATGAAAATTCAAGTACAACTTGATACAAACAGAATCTCCGGTTCACGACCTGGATGATGGCTAGTTATTTCATTTGATTTACAGTTACATATTAGTACCCGTGATAAATCAAACCCATTATGTAGGCCACACGATTATTAATCTCACTTGGTTTTGGATTTGCTTAAACGTGATTGGAAATGGTTAGGTAGGGCCTACACAGTATTTGTTAATAAAATTTATGTAAACATATCGCAGTGACAGCTAGAAAAAGGAATCTTTATCAAAACAGCTGTTCTTAATTTCATATATGACAAGTTCTCTTAACAGATTATTAGTATTTCATAAATGAGGTATGTGGTGAACATGGAGAAAAAAACTTGAAAAATCACACAAAATTGGGTTTTTGATCGTCCGTTATTTTATTTCCAAAATAGTGAGGCCATATTTGAATGGCTAAGGACACTCTCGCCAATCCTGTGAATACAATTAAACCATTGGAATCTTAATTGGTACTCTAGCTTTCTTTAGAGTATGCTGTGTAAAATGCTTTCTGGGCCATGAAATAAATTGAGATAAGATATGTTTCAACTTCTATAATGTATATACGTAAAAATAACCCAAAAATGTATAATTCTGAGCAATGTACAGACAAAACTATAACTTTATTTATATAGATTAACTGGGTTTGAATTTTCAATAGGCTACATAAAAAAATGTATAAAATTTCTTTTGGTTTTACAAATAATGCTGGGCGGGGGAATAATGTTTCTCATTAGTTGTGTACCTCATTTATTGTGGGGGGGGGGGCTGGTGCTCAATTGGGGGGGGGGGGTGCGTCATGAGTCTATATGGGGGATGGGCACCCCTGCTTGACTGATGATGCATCGTAAAGTTGTTCATTTTAGTTAATTGGTATTTTGTCAATTACATCTGTTGTAAATTGTTTAGGCCGACACACTTATTACTTTAAATAAATTAAATGTAAATGTAGGCTGATGATTAACAAGGATTTAGAAAAAATCCTGGCAACTAGAAACCTACGGGTACCTTTGGAAGGTTTCTAATGTTAGCCTAGGTTATTTTATTTGTTCTGGCCGTAATTTTAGTCTAAAGCATAAAACTAAATACTAGGCTAACTTAAAATATGACTGTTTTATGTAGGCCTAATCCAATTTTTGTTTGGAAATAAATCAAGTCCCAACGGTGACAGACTAGTAAAGTTGAACTATGAATACAGTATTATATAGGCTACACAGTTTAGTCTGCTGACGTGAACAACTTAAGTGTCATTTGAATTAAGTTTTTTGACATTTGCAGTGATCATATGTACTTATTTATTTACGGTGACACTATAATGACTATTAGACTGACTGAGCATGTAAGGTTGATGAAATGGCCATCTTACTATGTAGGTAAGATAATAAGACATTTTATTGACCACTAAGTAAATACAAAATACAATAGGTCTTGTCAATTTTATAATAGCCCACATTATTATGTATTATGGGCTGAAGGTTTAAGTTAGGGGATTGTTCGTAAATACACGTAAAAATAAAATGTGGCATAACTTGGCTGTAAGTTTTGTAAGTTATGTCCTTATGGTCATAAACAGAATTTCTTTTTATCTGTTTGTTTATCATAAATATCTATTAAAAAATTCATCAAGTACCGGTAAGTAACTTGCCATTCATGTATTTATTGTAAAATTGGGGCTTACCGTGTGAATAAAAAAATAAATAAATTGGGTAGACTTTTGAATCTGTTGGCTTAAACAACCGAATGTAAATATCGATCAATATATCGAATGAAACAATCGAATAATCAATATTTTCACTAAACGATATATCGAATGAAACTATCGAATACCGGTAATCGATATTTTCATTCCTTTGTTTGTGCCAACAGATACGGAAGTCTACCCTCCTACTCATCTCCATACATACTTGGCTTAGGGCCTATAATACTTACATTCGTATGGTAACTATTACAAAGTTAAGTATTAAAGGATAACATGAGTTAAAGGCTAGTTACTGGGTAACAAGTTGGATGCTATTGTGGAGACTGCTCAACTTCAACACTATTAAGCTCTGAGGTAAGATGATTTAATAGTAGATAGCCTAAACGTAAAATAACACCTAGGCCTACCTCATAATAAAAAGGACCATTCCACAAAAACATATTAGGACAGCCAGCACTGACAAAATGTTTGATAGCTCAGCAACAGACACTAACATCGCTGTCATTGCAACTAGCATTTTGAAAGACTAGTTAACAGTTTGAATGCGGGATAATTAAAGCATAGAACAACCATTAACGAAACTCTCCGCACTAGCACTCTCTTCAAGCCATACTGATGATAACTGAAGAACAGCGAAAAGGAACGTGAAAGTAATCCCTTAATACCACAACCCTTTGGCCATTACCACCACCATAATACTGGAAATGACAGCTAGCTAAGCTACTGGACGAAATGACAACAGGACCTTTTTGTTCTATTATGAAAAATGTCGTCTGCAATAATTTCAGCTGTTGTGGGGAAAACAGTAAAAGAGGAAAGCAAATACAGTAAGTTTCAAAGCACTACCATAGGTTAAACATACTCCTTCAATCTCAAAGGCTATTGTTTGCAACATTAAGACAATCATAACAAATAAATGATTTTTCATTTCATTTCATTTCAACATGATTGATCCAACCAAGGATAGTGGGGGAATGGAATGATATGATTTATGCAGTTTTTATTGGCTAAGTCCAGATGTTTCCTAACATATACGTTCATTAAAAGCCCAATAGTAGTAATTATCGATTATAGGCATCTCTGCTTTGTCCAGTTTAGAATACCAGTGATACAAAAAGAATGAAATGTTGTCTATGATAATACTCAGTGAGTGTTTTCATAGACTAACCAACCACAAGTAGACTTCTCATTTCATTGTAAATTTTGAAGTTTGTTTTTCGTGGCTAGTTCATGTCCGTTGAGTTGACAATGGATGAACAATGGATGACAATGAATGGTATGTCATCTCACCTACTTAAGATAATATTAGCACATATCTTGTTGCCACTCACTGATTGTATCAACTACTGTCTGCTTTCTGGCATCTTTCCTCCAAATTTAAAGCTATCAAAAGTTGTCCCAGTTTATAAGAAGGGCCCGAGGGACAGTCCTGGTAGTTACCGCCCTATATCTCTGGTTTCTGTTGTGGGAAAAGTGCTTGAGTCAGTTGTCAAAGTGCAATTAATGAATTATTTAGAATCGTTTGGGTTACTTTCAAATTGGCAATTTGGGTTTAGAGCCGGCAGATGCGCCACGGATGCCGTTAGGTGTCTAGTAGAGTCTGTCTTAAACTCATTTGAAGGAGGAGCCCTTACTCAGGCGACCTTAGTTGACTTGAGTAAGGCATTTGATTGTGTTCCACACTCCTTACTCTTTAACAAGCTTGACTACTACGGTATTCGTGGCGCAGAGCTGGAATTTTTCAGGAATATACTTATATGTCAGAGCGCAGACAGTTTGTTGAGATTGGAGGGATGAAGTCCTCTGTGAGGAATGTCACCTCAGGAGTTCCTCAGGGCTCGGTCCTGGGACCTGTGCTCTTCCTAATAATGATAAATGATCTGGACGATAACTTGAGCTGTAGATCCCTGATGTATGCTGATGATTCAACTTTCATAACTAGTCATTGTAGTATAAAGGAACTCACTCAATTATCTTCATTAGTTTTGAATGACGCAAAGCACTGGTTTAATATAAATGGGTTTAACATGAACTCAGACAAAACACAGTCAATTGTTTTTAGGCTAGGTGCAATTCCCGACAATGAGAACCAATGTCTGTAAGTGTCAACATTTTAGGAATAGATCTAGATTGTGGTTTAACTTGGGAGAATCACATAAAAAGTGTCAGTCGTAAGTTGTCCAGAGTATTGTTTCTGATTAGGAGGCTAAGAGATTTTGTACCACCGCAGTATGTAAGATGTGCCTATTTTGCATTTTTTCAAAGCCATTTGCTGTATGGAATATTGCTGTGGGGAAATTCAACTTATATTAATAGTGTGATTCAGAAGAAGGCAATTAGGCTTTTAACTAACTCTAGGCGGCACGCACATTGTAAACCTCTTTTTAGGTCAAAACAAATCCTTACAGTTGTAAATCTGTACATACTTGAATGTGTAATCATAGATGAAGTGTAATGTTTGTAACGAGCAATCCAAATCTGTTTGCACAAAGAGGTGTTTTTCATACTCATCAGACAAGAGGCAGGATGGCACTTGATAGGCCCTATACTAGATTAGCAACTGTTCAGAGGAGTTTCTGCAGTGTATCTATTAAAATTGTAAACGCCCTTCCTAACACCTGGCTAGGCCTATCAAGCAAACAAATCAAACACAAGTTGTTAAAATGGCTTATGGACCATCCCTGTTATGACTTGAATGAGTTTTTTGTAGAAAGTGCCAACATGATATTCTAGTCATTATATTTATTCTGACTGTCATTATATTTATTCAGTATTAATCTTATAACTCTATGCATGTTTTTTTTCTATCTAATTAACTGTACAGCTATTTATTTATTGTAGCGTCTGTGATATGATAGCCCAGGGCTTAATTTCTAATTTGAGAAGTACCGGAGCCATGACTTACCGGGGGGAAAGAGGGGGGTCCGGGGGTCCTCCCCCGGAAGATTTTTGTAAAAATTGCACTTGAATTGGTGCATTTTAAACACATTTGAGCATGGTTAAGAATGCACATATACAGCATTATATTATATACAAAATAGTAATATAACAGGTGTAAAAATTAAAGAAGTTTGCCAGCAACTAAGCAGAAGCACTTAGTATAGTATGCAGTGTATCCACACGACCAAAACAATAATCCCGCTAACTGGGTTGTAAAATGCCATTCCATGCAGTTTTTTATTATGAAAACTGTCGTTGTATTTCTCATGCAGTTTTTGTTATTATGTTTATTTCTTCTGAGAGTTAAATTTGACATAGGCCTATATTACACATCCACTCCACCGTTCCAATCCAATCCAATCCAATCACGCAGCACGCAGTCAGTGGACTGAGATCATCGATCTGAACGAACACAGACTCAGTCAGTGGCAGTCGGCACCTGGTCGGCAGACGGCACTGTCGGCAGACTGGCTTACAAGTAGGAACACCGTTCCCCGTTGTATAATAAACTTTGAATACTTTGCCCTGAAGTAAAGATTCGGTATTTGACACGATTTTTACAAAGAATTGAAAACCATAAGTCAACAATTGAAAAATAAAAATACTATTTACAGCTAATTAAGATCGATTCAAAAATAAATTATCAATCCAGATAACAGGAGCTTCGCTCCAGTGTCCTGAGAAGTACCGGAGCTGCGCTCCGGTGTGCTCCGGCTGAAATTAAGCCCTGTAGATAGCCTTTCTATTTTGTATGCTAAAATGTGACTGTGATAATGTATCGCTATTGTTTTATATGTGTGTCTCTGACGAGGTCTATTGTAATCAATGATTATTTGACCAATAAATTACTTGGTTACTTGATTACTTGACACTGGGGTCGACATGTTTAGTGTATAATTTTTAATAAATAATTTTCTTTCAATTATTTTATGGTTAATTTCACGATTTGTGCTTTACTGACTGGTGACTGGTTGGTTTACCATTTACCATTTACCATCCGGTGTCTTCTCGACAATCCAGGGATCGGGGAATCGTCAAACTTCTTCCTGGGACCAGAGTAATGATGGGTTTGTAGGCCTATTCATGTCTCAGGTGTTGGAAAGTGTGCTCCACAATAAATTCGAAGACTGTGTAGTATGGCCTATCTGTTAAGTATTGTTTTAGTTTACTATTGAAGGTGACAGGTTTTTTGATGGTTTTGAGTTGTGGTGGTAATAAATTGAAGAAGTAAGAGCCAGAATAGTGAGGACTATTGTTGAATTTCTGCAATCGATGTTGTGGCAAGTCTATGTTATGTGTGTTGCGGAGGTTGTATGAATGTTGTTCTGATCTCAGAATAGGTGTCCATTGTTTTGCAAGTGTGTGTTTAGCCTACTGTTGGTTATATAACTAGGAATTTGAGTTTGAGTTATTTTGTACGATTATATAGTTTAATTTTGTTAAACGAGGTTTTGGCTGAAATAACAAGACTCAAATTGTAAACAAAACACGACCTATACAGTGCACCGGGCAGAACTATAACAATAAAATTGGCTTCAGCAGTTCCATAAGAATGAGAAATCTACTAAGAGAGTTTGTTTTATCTATGGCTAGGATTATACTAGGACGCTGGCGGGGCATTAAATCAAATGGAGGCGATTATACTATGGATGCTAGCGTCGGATGCTAAAAAGAGCCACCGGACGCTCGAAGCCATTACCGTAGGTGGCATGGTAAGACCTAGGCCCGGGACCGATTTACTTTTTCATTTTGATGTCTCCAGAGGCCGAAAACACCATCCGTTCGTATAGATTTAAATATTATATATATATATATATATATATATATATATATATGTCTGTAAACGCGATAACTGGAGTAACTTTAGTCCTATTTTGAAGAAATTCTGTTTTAAGGTGAGGGGTGGGATAAACTTGAATGAGTTCGCGAACCAGCATGAACAGACCTTGGGAACGGGGTTTTATGTGCTAAAAAAGGTGGTTTGTCATTTTTGACCCATAAAACTGAAAAATTCCCAATTTCTCTCCAGACAATTTTAATGAGCTTAAAAACAAATAATTTAGTATATTTAAGTGTTTTTTTACTGTTATTATAATGGAGGAAATTAAAAATACCCCCGCCGCAGCAAACCTGCAGACTAAGCGAATTTCCATTTGACTGATTTGATTTACACTGAAATGTCTACTTATAAATATAACATGTATTCCCGATTTAAATAGAATTAGTTTAACACGTTACTTAGGTTTGCTGCATCAGGGAGGGCAAAACTGTTTTTTTTTTGTAAAATGTTAATAGTTAGTAAGAAATAAAAACGTTTTCCAAATTTGATCAAAATATGTTCATAAAAAAGCAAACTACAACAGTTTACTTATTCTCCATAAGAATAACATGGGAATTTTAAATTTACAATTTTTTTGAATTTTCTCCGTAACCATTAGGCGCATAATAACGCTTCAATATACTAAATTATTTTTTTTTAAGCTCTACAAAATGGTTTGGAAAGAAATTGCTACATTTTATGTTTTTTTGGTCAAAAATGGGAAAAACCTATTTTTACCCCATAAAACCCCCCGTAAACCCCCGTTCCCATGGTCCGATCATGCTGGATCGCGAACTCGTTCGAATAAACTTAGGTTTACACGTTTGTACCAAATTTCATCAAAATCGGATCATTTTTGCTCGAGTTATCGTGCTAACGGACACACACATATATACATATATATATATAAATATATATATGAATTTGAACGGATGGTGTTTTTGGCCTCTAGGGA